CAAGAGACACATATGTCATGAACATCTGGGCAATAGTTACAAGAGACACATATGTCATGAACATCTGGGCAATAGTTACAAGAGACACATATGTCATGAACATCTTGGCAGTAGTTGCGGAGACACATATGTCATAAACTTTTAGGCAATAGTTACGAGAGACACACATGTCATGAACTTCTGGGCAATAGTTACAAGAGACACATATGTCATGAACTTCTGGGCAATAGTTACAAGAGACACATATGTCATGAACTTCTGGGCAATAGTTACAAGAGACACATATGTCATGAACTTCTGGGCAATAGTTACAAGAGACATATATGTCATGAACTTCTGGGCAATAGTTACAAGAGACACATATGTCATGAACTTCTGGGCAATAGTTACAAGAGACACATATGTCATGAACTACTGGGCAATAGTTACAACAGACATATGTCATGAACTTCTGTGCAATAGTTACAAGAGACATATATAGCATGAACTTCTAGGCAATAGTTACAAGAGACACATATGTCATGAACTTCTGGGCAGTAGTTGCGGAGACACATATGTCATGAACCTCTGCAAAACGAATTACATAAGGAGTGAAAATTTACGATACGATTCTCATGGGCAATCAACATTTGCTTCAAGACACACGAGAACAGTTACTATTTGCTTTAGGTCACACATGGGCAGGTAATATTTGCTTCGAGACAGACACTGACAGTGAACATGTGCAACATTAGTCACACATAAAACAAACATTTGCTGTCAGACTCACATGGAGTACGAACTTCTTGCAGCCTACCTACGATCGGAGTCAGGGCTGGATTTGGATCACGTGATAACTGAAAACGGCCAAAATTGTAATGTTTGTAAACTGTATGCAATTGTAATTGTATCAAATGTTAACTTCTCCAGTTGTCTGTCTACATGTTTATCTCCCTACCTATTTATCTACACCCCCTGCCCCCTTCTCTCCCCCCCCCGGGTTCTGGAATCCACAGTCTGTTTTACAGCCCATATGTGTCTGAATGAGAATAATGTTTGATTCTTTTTTTTTTGTTGTAATCTGACCTTTCTCATTTTTAGACATACTTGTCTTGATTACGTTGTCAGGCCAACTATGGTATAAATGGCTGTCTCTTTGAGGCTGGTGTGGCTCTGTCTTCACCAGCGATTGAGCAGATCTTGACCTTGGTATACAGAGCCACAAAGCTATGGTGGCTCACCAGGTTGGATGTGATCCACATGGTTAAGTAATCCCTTAAACTGCGACAGGCCTAGCGACCGGTAGTGGATTATATCTCACACGAAGAAACAACAAGAAGAGAGGTCAGACTGATACAGTCGGTTCAAACCATTTCACAAGACACAGAGAGCAGTACCTCAAACAAGAACGCAAAGACCGCCAAACCGGACGGTTGACCCTCTGCGTCATACAGACTTGGGTAGATGGCGTTGAAATGGACGATGTGCATCTGCAGACAGAAACAGGCGACAAGACAAGAGCTCAACCACTAGCAAAAGGCAACATTTGTGCTCCATATTATGATTGGTTTCCGTCGCGGAGTGGTAAAGCCGTTTGTCTCATCTCTGATTTTGGCACATTCGCCGTTCTGTTCACAAGTGCAAATTTGACAGAGATCCTCGCGGCGCTACGAAGTTTGGGCTTTGTGCGACGCTTCTGGACGTTGTGCGGAGAGAGACGGATCCATATGGGGAAAAACCCCGGTGTGATGAAGTCGATACATTCGACTGTAACCTTTTTTGTCTTTTAATTGTTTTATTTTTATTTTTTATGTTTCCACTTTACTAGTACTTACTACTACTACTGCTACTGTTACTACTACTACTACTACTACTACTACCTCTACTACTACTACTACTACTACTACTACTACTACTACTACTACTACTACTACTACTACTACTACTACTACTACTACTACTACTACTACTACTACTACTACTACTACTACTACTACTACTACTACTACTACTACTACTACTACTACTACTACTACTACTACTACTACTACTACTACTACTACTACTACTACTACTACTACTACTACTACTACTACTACTACTACTACCACTACTACTACTACTACCACTACTACTACTACTACCACTACTACTACTACTAACACTACTACTACTAACACTACTACTACTACTACTACTACTACTACTACTACTACTACTATTACTACTACTACTATTACTACTACTAGTAGTACTACTACTATTACTACTAAAATAACAAATAAAGCAACAACAATAACTCTGACTACCACCACTACTACTACTATTGCTATTACTACTACTACTACTACTATTACTATTACTACTACTATTACTACTACTACTACTACTACTACTACTACTACTACTACTACTACTACTACTACTACTACTACTACTACTATTACTACTACTACTATTACTACCACCACTACTACTACTATTACTACTACTACTATTACTACTACTACTACTATTACTACTACTACTACTATCACTACTATTAGTAGTACTACTACTATTACTACTATAATAACAAATAAAGCAACAACAATAACTCCGACTACCATCACTACTACTACTGTTACTATTACTGCTGCTGTAGCTGATACCACCACGACTACCATCACTACTACTACGACTGTTCTGCTGCTGCTGCTGCGGACTCAGCAAATGTTTTAAATTGTGGATATAGTGAACCTAATAATGAATGTGTAAATATTATCAGTAGTTGTGTTGTTGTTGTTGTTTTAGTAGAAGTAGTAGTAGTAAAAGTCGTAGAAGCAATAGCAGTGTTAGTAGTAGTAATAGTAGTAGTAGCAGCAGCAGCAGCGGCGACGGCATCAGTAGTAGTAGCAGTGGTAAGTAGTAGCAGTAGTAGTAGTAGCAGTAGTAGTAGCAACAGTAATCATAGCAACAGTAGCAGCTATTTTCATAGCAGTAATATGGGCAATATTTAGAAGCTGCTTTGTCGTTCGATTGTATTTCTCTGCAAACAATAATGCATCGTTGCTTCTTTCCCATGTCAAGTTTAGGTTTAAAATATAAAATAAGCCTTGTGTTTACCGTCGCCACAACTTTCTGTAAAGAAACTAGGTGGGAGCAGTAACTGCAGCCTGTCCATGGCTGGAGAGCGGTACTCTACGACATGTTGCGATTATAACTGACTTGCACAGCATGCTTCGGAAAACAGAACCTGTTGTCTTGCGCTCAGAGTGGCTGGAGTCCCTTGATACAACTCAGATAATAAGTATTTCGTTGATATTTTGCTCAGGAAGTTCAGGTGTGCTTGGTAATAAAAATACCGATAGATTAGCTGATGTCGCACATAGTGATAGCTCTGTGGGATCAAGTGGATAATGTAGCCACACAAACAGAGCATGGATATTTAAAGTGAATGATTCTGCTGTGAGTAAGCGGAAGGTCTGGACGATTGTCTACCCAACAAGACAGGTAACTACGGGAACTATTCATCGGTTACTGAATATGGGGACGCGCCCTGTGGGAATGTCCCGAGAGCATTGATGTCAGTTCTCCATTCATTCCTTCAGTCATTCAAATATTACCTTATTCGTTCAGCACACGACGATGACAATCAGACAAATGCCCTTCACATTAACATTTGAAATCTAGTGTCACTGATCAGCCCTTTCTCATCCAGAAACTCGCACAGGTAGTAAATACATAAGACAGACGCCAAGAAATCCACTAACATTTCAAAACCAAAACTGCAATTCATCTATAATAGAAGCAGCCTGTCACAACAAGCCACGAGCTGCATATGCACAATAGCGTAAGGCACATGCCAGCCCAGAACTAACAATAGAAACCGGATAGTTCACAAGCAATACGTGTGAAATGCACGACTAACAGTGTCGCACAAATGCAACACAGAACCACAGAAATGCCCTAACCGTCATATTGATCCTGAAATGCAAGAAAAGCAGAACAGAGATATGATACTGGAATGATCTAATACGACGACAGAACTTTGAAAGAAAGCACAGACAAATTACGAGGTACCTCCATAGGGAAGCTTGTCCCGTTTTTGAAGTGCTCCGATCCTTGAGTACTCTTCTTGCCCCAGTGAAAGTGTATGTGGTCAACGGTAAAATCTTCGGGGTGACCTCCCCCTGTCATCTCAGCCTGTGTTTCTGGGAAATCTATTTTGACTGGGGAATAAAGTGACAGTGTAGTTAGTTTAAGGTAGGGAATTTCACTGGCTACTTTGTTTTGACTGGGGAATAAAGTGACAGTGTAGTTAGTTTAAGGTAGGGAATTTCACTGGCTACTTTGTTTTGACTGTACAAAAAAAATTTCTGCGATTTAGTTAGTTGTAAGTAATTTCATTGAGTTTTCTATTATGAAAGGAAAGTAACAAACTGTACATAGCACTAAAACGAACGTTGATGAGAAAGGCGAAAAGGTGCAGTACCGAACCATATCAATCAGGTCAAAATGATTGAAAAGGAATAGACCTCGACCAATGTGACATAAAGTGGCTCCCCCACCCCCCCCCCTCCTCCCCCCCCCCCCCCCCCCCCGCCCAAAACAGAGCACTGATAAGGAAGACGAATTGAAATCTTATCAGAGAGTAATTTATAAATGTTGATAAAGGCCCGGCCAGAGTAAAAAAACAACGATTGTTTGAAAGAAGCAAATGAAAATATATCTCTATATACAACAACAAGAAAGAGACAAACACTGTTATTTTGCCACATAATGAGAAGAGAGACATTGGAGAACATTGTGACAACTGGAAAGATTAGTGAAAATAAAAGAGGGGGTGGGGGGGGGGGGTAGAGGCAGACCAAGAGAGAAGATGCTTGATGGTCTGAAACTATGGCGTAAAGGGATATCACCTCGAGAGCTGTTCTAGGCAACCAGGGATCGTGTTCTGTGGAGATGTTTCAGCGCCTAGGCCAGTTGACAGGGCACATGATGATGATAATGTTAAAGGCCAATTTATTGTCATGGCGATTCTTGTTCTCATTTCTATGCGATGTCTTTAATTTTTAGGACAGTCGTAAAATAAGGTCTACCTAATTCTCAGCCCTTGTTATGGTGATTCATCTGGAAATAGGGCCGCAAAAAATGTATTCTGAGCCTCAATGTTTTGAATACATGAATATTTTGTTCGTTTCCTGTTGCCCTTTCCTGGTACGGTGTCTTCTGCTATTCCTCTTTCTTTCCGCTAAGGCGCATGATATAGCTAAGCTGTTTAAGTTTCTCAGAGATTGTATGTGTTTTAACAGTCAGTCTTTCCTGATGTTCAGAGTTTTTAGTTAATCAGTATTTTATGTTATGCCTAGAGTATTGTTATAACATTTTAGCTCAAAAGCCCCTATTTTCTACCCTAATGACTGGGAGATAGTCCACGACTCACATCCGTATGTTGCTACAGGGAAGATGGGAGATAGTCCACGACTCACATCCGTATGTTGCTACAGGGAAGATGGGAGATAGTCCACGACTCACATCCGTATGTTGCTACAGGGAAGATGGGAGATAGTCCACAACTCACATCCGGTTGTTGCTTCAAGGAAGATGCATGACCTGACAATGTTGAACACACTAGCCTACAGGCATGCTAGAAGACATTCCGGCACTGCTCACCTAGATGCCCGTTGTTGCCCAGAACCATTTTCAAGTCTTTGTTGTCGTAGTTGGTGAATTTGAAGGGTTTGAAGGTCCTGCGTGTGGTTCTTTTGGTGAAAATGTTGATTGGCGAGTGGGGCTCGTTCGTATCGGAGCTGCAGGTGTAATTCTCCGTGTGCCAGGTGTCCTGGTTCAGGTAGGACCAGCCTATTGAACCACCTGTCATACAGGTAAATATTGGTAGTGGTTGATGAATACAAAAATGGGCTGACGTGAAGGATCAAAGATAAGAAAAAGAAATCAAAGATGCAAGAAGGAAGAGGAAAATGAAAAAGAAAGAAATTGAGGATAAGAGCAGGAGGTGGAAGGGGAGGAGGAGAAGGAGAATGAGAAGAGGAAGAAAACGAATAAGAAGAAAAAACAGAAGAAGAAGAAGAAGAAGAAGAAGAAAGAAAGAAAGAAAGAAAGAAAGAAAGAAAGAAAGAAAGAAAGAAAGAAGAAAGAAAGAAAGAAAGAAAGAAAGAAAGGAAAGGAAAGGAAAGGAAAGGAAAGGAAAGGAAAGGAAAGGAAAGGAAAGGAAAGGAAAGGAAAGGAAAGGAAAGGAAAGGAAAGGAAAGGAAAGGAAAGGAAAGGAAAGGAAAGGAAAGGAAAGGAAAGGAAAGGAAAGGAAAGGAAAGGAAAGGAAAGGAAAGGAAAGGAAAGGAAAGGAAAGGAAAGGAAAGGAACGGGACGGGACGGGACGGGACGGGACGGGACGGGAAGGGACGGGAAGGGACGGGAAGGGACGGGAAGGGACGGGAAGGGACGGGAAGGGACGGGAAGGGACGGGAAGGGACGGGAAGGGACGGGAAGGAACGGGAAGGGACGGGAAGGGACGGGAAGGAACGGGAAGGAACGGGAAGGAACGGGAAGGAACGGGAAGGAACGGGAAGGAACGGGAAGGAACGGGAAGGAACGGGAAGGAACGGGAAGGAACGGGAAGGAACGGGAAGGAACGGGAAGGAACGGGAAGGAACGGGAAGGAACGGGAAGGAACGGGAAGGAACGGGAAGGAACGGGAAGGAACGGGAAGGAACGGAAAGGAACGGAAAGGAACGGAAAGGAACGGAAAGGAACGGAAAGGAACGGAAAGGAACGGAAAGGAACGGAAAGGAACGGAACGGAACGGAACGGAACGGAACGGAACGGAACGGAACGGAACGGAACGGAACGGAACGGAACGGAACGGAACGGAAAGGAAAGAGAAGGAAAGGAAAGAGAAGGAAAGGAAAGAGAAGGAAAGGAAAGAGAAGGAAAGGAAAGAGAAGGAAAGGAAAGAGAAGGAAAGGAAAGAGAAGGAAAGGAAAGAGAAGGAAAGGAAAGAGAAGGAAAGGAAAGAGAAGGAAAGGAAAGAGAAGGAAAGGAAAGAGAAGGAAAGGAAAGAGAAGGAAAGGAAAGAGAAGGAAAGGAAAGAGAAGGAAAGGAAAGAGAAGGAAAGGAAAGAGAGGAAAGGAAAGAGAAGGAAAGGAAAGAGAAGGAAAGGAAAGAGAAGGAAAGGAAAGAGAAGGAAAGGAAAGAGAAGGAAAAGGAAAGAGAAGGAAAGGAAAGAGAAGGAAAGGAAAGAGAAGAAAGGAAAGAGAAGGAAAGGAAAGAGAAGGAAAGGAAAGAGAAGGAAAGGAAAGAGAAGGAAAGAAAGAGAGAAGGAAAGGAAAGAGAAGGAAAGGAAAGAGAAGGAAAGGAAGAGAGAAGGAAAGGGAAAGAGAAGGAAAGGAAAGAGAAGGAAAGGAAAGAGAAGGAAAGGAAAGAGAAGGAAAGGAAAGAGAAGGAAAGGAAAGAGAAGGAAAGGAAAGAGAAGGAAAGGAAAGAGAAGAAAAGGAAAGAGAAGAAAAGGAAAGAGAAGAAAAGGAAAGAGAAGAAAAGGAAAGAGAAGAAAAGGGAAAGAGAAGAAAGGAAAGAGAAAGAAAAGAAAGAGAAGAAAAAGGAAAGAGAAGAAAAGGAAAGAGAAGAAAAGGAAAGAGAAGAAAGGAAAGAGAAGAAAAGGAAAGAGAAGAAAAGGAAAGAGAAGAAAAGGAAAGAGAAGAAAAGGAAAGAGAAGAAAAGGAAAGAGAAAAGAAAAGGAAAGAGAAGAAAAGGAAAGAGAAGAAAAGGAAGAGAAGAAAAGGAAAGAGAAGAAAAGGAAAGAGAAGAAAAGGAAAGAGAAGAAAAGGAAAGAGAAGAAAAGGAAAGAGAAGAAAAGGAAAGAGAAGAAAAGGAAAGAGAAGAAAAGGAAAGAGAAGAAAAGGAAAGAGAAGAAAAGAAAGAGAAGAAAAGGAAAGAGAAGAAAATGGAAAGAGAAGAAAAGGAAAGAGAAGAAAAGGAAAGAGAAGAAAAGGAAAGAGAAGAAAAGGAAAGAGAAGAAAAAGGAAAGAGAAGAAAAGGAAAGAGAAGAAAAGGAAAGAGAAGAAAAGGAAAAGAAAGAAAAGGAAAGAGAAGAAAAAGGAAAGAAGAAAAGGAAAGAGAAGAAAAGGAAAGAGAAGAAAAGGAAAGAGAGAAAAGGAAAGAGAAGAAAAGGAAAGAGAAGAAAAGGAAAGAGAAGAAAAGGAAAGAGAAGAAAAAGGAAAGAGAAGAAAAGGAAAGAGAAGAAAAGGAAAGAGAAGAAAAGGAAAGAGAAGAAAAGGAAAGAGAAGAAAAGGAAAGAGAAGAAAAGGAAAGAGAAGAAAAGGAAAGAGAAGAAAAGGAAAGAGAAGAAAAGGAAAGAGAAGAAAAGGAAAGAGAAGAAAAGGAAAGAGAAGAAAAGAAAAGAGAAGAAAAGGAAAAGAGAAGAAAAGGAAGAGAAGAAAAGGAAAGAGAAGAAAAGGAAAGAGAAGAAAAGGAAAGAGAAGAAAAGGAAGAGAGAAGAAAAGGAAAGAGAAGAAAGGAAAGAGAAGAAAAGGAAAGAGAAGAAAAGGAAAGAGAAGAAAGGGAAAGAGAAGAAAAGGAAAGAGAAGAAAAGGAAAGAGAAGAAAAGGAAAGAGAAGAAAAGGAAAGAGAAGAAAAGGAAAGAGAAGAAAAGGAAAGAGAAGAAAAGGAAAGAGAGAAAAGGAAAGAGAAGAAAAGGAAAGAGAAGAAAAGGAAAGAGAAGAAAAGGAAAGAGAAGAAAAGAAAAGGGAAAGGAAAGGAAAGATGATGATGATGATGATGATGATGATGATGATGATGATGATGATGATGATGATGATGATGATGATGATGATGATGATGATGATGATGATGATGATGATGATGATGATGATGATGATGATGATGATGATGATGATGATGATGATGATGATGATGATGATGATGATGATGATGATGATGATGATGATGATGATGATGATGATGATGATGATGATGATGATGATGATGATGATGATGATGATGATGATGATGATGATGATTGATGATGATGATGATGATGATGATGATGATGATGATGATGATGATGATGATGATGATGATGATGATGATGATGATGATGATGATGATGATGATGATGATGATGATGATGATGATGATGATGGATGATGATGATGATGGATGATCTGATGATGATGATGATGATGATGATGATGATGATGATGATGATGATGATGATTATGATGATGATGATGATGATGATGATGATGATGATGATGATGATGATGATGATGATGATGATTAATTATGATGATGATGATGATGATGATGATTAATTATGATGATGATTATGATGACGAAGAGAAAGAAGCAGACAAGAAAATATGAAAATGAGCTGAACGACGATGATGATGATGAAGAAGAACAAAAAACAGGAAGAATAAAAGATCTGCTTTTATTTGGCATAGGGCTTATAATATTGTAGACATTTTGAAATCAGCATTCTGACTAAAGAATGGTTAAAACGTTACCTGCATATCGTTTCACTGTGAAAGACCATATTGTGTCGAGATTCTTTCCGTGAATGCCCGAAAGGGCAGAAAACGTAGGAAAGAACGATTTAATCAACATCATGGTGTGTCCAATGATATCTTGCTATATTAACTGTAAGATTTGGCTTTTGTTGTCTGCTTCCGTTTCCATCAGAAGCAAATAATGATGACGTCATATGGAGATTAGCCCTTGAATGGGCTCCCTATAGACAGGTGAGACATCATCACTGCCAGACAGGGGACTAAAGTCTGTGAAGCTTTCAGTTTTGAGGAAAACGATTTTTTACTGAATAGACTGCATACACTTGGTGTACCAACTGGAGCAGTGAGACAGGAAAGCCATGCGGTAGCCACCCTTCATCAACCAGAACAGAATGGAAGTTGTTAACCTAAAACACATGGCTTGGACACATACTCAGGAGGAGATCCGACCACTTATTGACATATCCAGTGTGCGATGAAGATGATCCTCCAAATGAACAATAAACAATCATAGACATTTATGTTCTTTTCTTTAGCAGCAAGCACAGAGTTTCAGTTATTATGGCACGAGTCTGATTGTATTTCCGTCTCATCCCTCCCTTAAGTGTTGAGCGTCGGCCAGATCCCCTGGTAACCCCTCGCAGCGCAACTATCCTTAAACCGTAATGATCCATCTCTGCTTCCCACTCGCTGGCAAAGGGCCTTCACAACATCAAGCTTGTTATACATCAATTCAAAACCAAATTAATGCAGAACTAGCAAGTCTATCTGTCTACTAATTTCCTAACACACCTGTATAACCTGAAGAAAAAATCCACAGGACCTAACTTACCGGGACCTCTGAAGTGATGGTTACCACTCTGCATGGAGCATACCTGTCTCCATCTTTCTCAACATATCTGTGAGTCAGTTACAATCACGACATGTGTGTATAGCTGATTATAAAGCCAGCGGAAGGCAGCAGTGACTGCCTCCACCTCCATTCGTAAACTAGAAGACGTTGTGATATCATTTGCCAGGCTTTGTTGCACTAAGCGACGTCTATTTGCTTTTGCTGTGAACCCCAAAGCACTTCATATGCCCCTCAGCACAGAGCCATCTGTATATACAATCACATCACTTGGGCGAGAATTGTCATAAATCATTTGTTAAACTTCTGATTCTGCAGCACCAGCTGGCCAGTCCCTGCATTCACGACCCAAAGTGATTAGAACCCTACACAAGTCTGAAACATGATCGGACACTTTGATCCACTCCTCTCCTCGCCTAAATTTATCAAGCCTGCATACATGTCCAATTGTGTTCTTAGCTTCCAAGACCTTCTTCTTTTCAGTCTGTGACTCTTAACTCTATCCAGAGCTTCATGCAGAATGTGCTTCTTGTCTGCAGCTACTCTGAGATAAGACTTCGCTTGCAGAACTTTGAGCCTATCTGCAATAGTAGGCAGTACAAGTATATATAGCCTACATACTACCGGGTATCTCTTGTACATCCCACAATTACCGCATAACTCCATCCTGTATGCTTTCAAATTTTATCAGCTGATTCTTTGATATGGTGAGCATTCCAAGTCCATAATCTATCACCGACAGGATCACATGCTGGAACATTGTGAACAACATTCTTTGTTCCATGTCCATTACTCCCATAATCTTGAGAGCATTGAGTCCTTTTTGGCATTTCACTGCAACTGCACCCAAATGATCCCTGAAGGACAGGCTTCTGTTGAAAATGATACCCAGTACCTCAGTTTGCTTTCTCTTTGATGTTAATGTTTTTAACTGTTAAGCTTGGAACATTAGCTCTTACAATTCTATTGTCCAGAGAGCACCACAAAACAGCCGCCTTTTCTGAGCTGATGACCACACCCATTTCTGAACACGTCAGTCACTTTGCCTACAGTTGCCATCAGCTCTAGGGCTATCTGTTGCCTTTTACCCCCCCCCCCCCCACCCCATATGCAAGAACTGTATCAGCAAATGTCAAAATCCTTGCAACACCCGGTGCCTCAAGTTCTCCTTGTATACACATTAACGGGCACTGGTGACATTGCAGAACCCAAGAGGTAGTTCCGGGGAGATAATTAAGGGCAACGCTACCAGTTCACAAGCCACGGACAAACCCCCTTTTCCACAAGTGTGCCCTGTCTATTCTGAAACCCATCATAAACATCGAAAGCAAAAGTAGCTGCATTTGACCAGGTATCTTTCCGTGGCCGGTAACTACCCAAACCTTTTGGCAGGAGCTCTTCACTTTCCAGAAACATTTGTGTTTGACAGCAACTGAGTGGTCTACTAAGGTTTTCAATTGAACAAGAAGACAGAAGATCAGAAACGATGAAATGCGAACAAACATGTGGTTAGCGGCAGCTCTGGATTTTTTTGAATAAATAAACACACAAATGAAAAATATGAAACGGTTCAGCAATAAAACGCAGATGTAAACAAACAGCACACCACAACAAGCAATCGTGTACAGATGAGGCGGAAAGTAAAGCAGCGGCCGAGATTGCAAACAATGTACAGAGGGAATAAAAGAGTCCCCGTGAATCCCCACTTTGAGAAGGACAGACACAAAATGAAGTAATGTAAGTCAGTAGAATCCATAGTTCCAATACATATCAGGGTGAATGGTACTTGTTTGAAACAAGTTAAATATTGTAAATATCCAGGAAGTATGTTCGGGAGAATCAATCGCGAAATAGAAACAAGTTGAAAAGCAGACAGTGCACTTATATACCAACTGACTCTGTTATCAAGACATCCAGACTTCAGTATGAGCAAAGAAACAGATTCTAACCTTCCGTGACAGAGATATATTGCATAAGATGTTCTGCATTTTATAAAATGCACTTTTTGCCTGTCCTATTCTGTTTCTTATCTCAGTAATGCATCTTCCATCTATGTTTAATGATGTTGAATACTGAATCTGATGTTATCCATGTTCCCAGATACTTAAATTTCTTTGAGTGTCCCAAAATAATACCATTGAATTTTATTCCACATTTAGGAATAATTCTTTTCTTTCATACCTCCATTACTTCTGTTATTCCATTTTTCAAATATTAATATATATAATATATATACACACACACACACACACACACACACACACACACACACATATATATATATATATATATATATATATATATATATATATATATATATATATATATATAAGCTTTTGAGCTGAAATGCTATAGAAAGATTCTCACAATATCTTGGACAAAGAAAAGGAGAAATACTGACATCTTGAAAGATCTGAATGTCAAGGAAAATTGGCTAATAAACAGCATCCTGTCTCAGAAGTTAAAATATTTTGGTCATATCAAGCGCCACGACGGATTGAAAAAAATTATAGCAGAAGACATGGTACCAGGAAGGTGGGGCAGGGGCCGACCGACACGAAGATGGGCATAGGATATGACTCCATGAGTATGAAAGTACATGAAGAGGGAGAACTGGCGAGAGACCGAGTTTTTTTCAGGCAGACCGTGATGAGATTGACGTTCTGCAAAGGACATGCTACATGATGATGATGATGATGTATATATAAATAAAGATGTCACCTGGGGGTGAATTTTCATTGATTAACTCCTGCACGACTAACTGTTTCACCCGCTATCTTTTCTCGGACCCCTCGGTGGAAGATAACCATCACTGGTGCAAGTCTGTGTGGCTGGGCAGCACAGTAACACATTCTTCATGGCGTGCTCTCTTGTCAGCTGCCCAAACAGTTCTGATCGTGACTTCTGCCTGTGCTATCCAAGATCCGCCTGTTTGCAGCCGTTGTCCATTGCTATCCGCTAAGGCTCATTGCAGAAGGCATTCCTGTCCGTTGCGACTTTAAATTTCTTCCTTAAAACGTCGTATGTCTCATTTACGGATGATAATGCAAAATAATTAGTTAGCCCCCCGTGTGGTTTCCTGAGCCCCATAGTGGGGGAAAACAAGAATAGACCCACTGCCTCCACAAAAGCATGTCGTAAGAGTCGACTAATTGGGGAGCTTCCTTTGAAGTCGGAGTGCATCTGCCGGAGAGGCAAGGAACCAACAGTCTGTATTCAAGAGAATGAGATTTGTAAAACTGATGCACACGCAACACTCAGATTCTGGAGCAGGACTGCAGTTCAGTAGTGGACGAGCACCCAGAACTTTCCGCAAGAGTGTACAGCTGGTGAACGTGAAGAAAAAGAAGAAGATTAGTTAGTTAGTTAGTTAGTTAGTTAGTTAGTTAGTTAATTAGTTAGTTAGTTAGTTAGTTAGTTAATTGGGTTATCATCATTGCACTCCGGACATGTCCATAGGTGCTCAGATCCTTTCCTCGGTATGAACCCCAAAATCCGATGGCTAATAGTACCAGTTCTATGTTGATTAACAAGTCTTCTGGCGTGTCTGGTGTGCGTCTCGTTTTTTTGCTCTGCCGATCTTAATTCCCAAGTCTGCCATTCTGGCGAGTAATGTGGATTCACTGCCCCCAAAGTCCTCTCTCCTTCCCATTTCTCTCAGGGCATTAATAATATTATCATGATCCATAGGCTGACCGTCGGTAGTCATAGCGGATCCAGCCAACCTATCAGCTCTTTCATTTCCATTAACACCCGTATGACCCGGAACAAAAAAAAGGTGACTGCACGCACAGTGGACTTTTATAATGATTAAAGCCTCCGGATCATACTCATTGAATCACTGAGTATATATATGCGAGTGTAGTTTTGTATCCCTAGCCAGTATGTGCATGAAATGAACTAAGCTTCCAGATGCGCACGTGACACCACAAATAAGCATTCAACCATACGTCATCAGTTTCTGCTGCCACCGGAACTCATACACGGCAGATTTGACTCCAAGGAATAGTTGAACGACTAGCGTTTAGGATGTTGTTTAAACACGTTTTACAGCAGTGTTTTACATTCTTGGGTAGCCAAATAAAGCATTCTAAACCAAGATGGTGTTACTCTATGAGGAGATATGCAGGGTCAGGTATTAATTGTTCTTCTTTCTTCGTATTTCGTCATATTTCCGTAAAATACGAATTCAGTTACTTGTTGGTGGTTTGGTATACCGACATGGATGTTGATATTTTTTTAAGGTTCCTGTCTAGATCGGTGTTTTTGAAACGTTTGTTGTTGTTGTTGTTGTTGTTGTTACACACCGCCAATTTTTCAAGGAAAACAAAAATGTGTTCCCTTATCGTCTCACTTGAAACATTATCATTTGCCTTTCGATAAGCTTTGGGTATTATGATCCATCGTCCTACAAGATCAACTGGTTCGTTGAGCTATTCACTGCTCTAGTCCGGCTCCATTCTTGTGGTCACGTCATCAAGGTATTTATCTATTTTCTTCCCACTTTGACATCTTTTGAACTAGCGGTCTCTAGCCTCATCAGGTGGCCCCTCCTTCAGTATACGACAAGACCCGGTGCTTTATTAATATCTTACCCCAAACAAGAGAAAATCCACAGGACATGGGCCAGTTTAATATTTCAGGGGGTGGTAGATAGGTTGCATG